ATGAAAATGATGGCTCAATCAATCATATTTCTGTTGTGGCGGAATAGAAGACACTGAGTTTGCTAGATACAGCAAACAAAAAAAGTAACCTTGCAAGGTACAAATGTTCGAAAAAAAAAAAAAAAAAGATTCAGGAAGTATTAAACTCACTGGGTCAACATGACACATTGGTATTTTAAAGGAGAAGTATGGCCAAACCTCTTTTGGCCATACTACTCCTGTGGGTCACAGGAGTGCACTCCTGTTTCTAGCTTCAGCCAACAGCAGGCTAAAGCCCACTGTCAACTGATGTCACAGAGCAGGACCAGGCTCTGCAGGGATCCCGACATCTGCCCAGATCCCTGACCAGCTGCGGACTTGCACGCTGCTGACATCTTGAGCCAGCTGCTCCCACCCCCTCCACATCCCAGTTCTCCAGTGAGCCCTGGAGCAGCAGAGCAGAGGGCAGGTGACTGATAGTCACTGCTCTCTGAAGCCTGAGAACCAGATGTTCATTGGTAATGTGATTGCTCAGTTCTCGGTCCTAGAACAGGAGGGGTGCAGCCATCTAAATGAGCACAAATGTTTGTTTTTTTCCAATCCCGCACTTCTCTTTGAAGAGGGAGGTGGCAGCAAAGACATGCCTTATATATTTCAGTGCAGGTTAAAGTAGAACTATAGGAATTTTTTTCATATTTTGGAAAGCATAAGGGGGAGGGGACACAAATGTGCAGTGGGGTGCTGGGGGCTTTGATGGGGAAACAAATGTGCAGAGGGGTGCTGGGGGCTCTGATGGGGACACAAATGCGCAGAGGGGTACTGGGTGCTCTGATAAGGGTGCTGGGGGGCTCTGATGGGGATGCAAAATGTGCAGAAGAGTGCTGGGGGCCTGATGGGGATGCAAAATGTGCAGAGGGGTGCTGGGGGCCCTGATGGGGATGCAAAATGTGCAGAGGGGTGCTGGGGGCTTCCATGGCGATGCAAATGTGCAGAAAGGTGCTGGGGGCTCCCATGGCGATGCAAATGTGCAGAGGGGTGCTGAGGGCTCCGATGGAGATGCAAAATGTGCAGAGGGGCGCGCTGGGGGCTCCGATGGAGATGCAAATTTGCAGGTGGTACTGGGGGGCTCTGATGGGAACACAAATGTGCAAAGCCATGCCGCGGGCTCTCATGGGGACACAAAATGTGCAGAGGCGTGCCGCGGGGCTCTCATGGGGACACAAAATGTGCAGAGGCGTGCCGCGGGGCTCTCATGGGGACACAAATGTACAGAGGTGTGCCGGGGGGGGCTCTCATGGGGACACAAATATACAGAGGCATGCCGGGGGCTCTGATGGGGATACAACTGTGCTGAGGCATGCCGGGGGGCTCTGATGGGGACACAAATGTGCAGAGGCATGCTGGGGGCTCTGATGGGGACACAAATGTGCAGAGGCATGCCGGGGGCTCTGATGGGGACACAACTGTGCAATGGAATGATGGCAGCTCTGATGGACACAAACGTGTGGGGGGAGAGCTCTGATGGGGACACAGATGTAAGACCCCACGTACACTGGAAGTATAGCCCTGCTATATGAGGCTCCGGTGTTCAGTAGCGGGTGGAAGATATAGGTTACCATCCACCCCACTTCCAGCAGCCTTCCAACTTCTACTCTCTTCCACTGCTGCAGATTCATTTATAAATAACAGATTTGTTTTCTGTATAGGATGGGGCCCTTGAAGTGATAGGTTTGGGCCCCCCTGCCCTAGACCAGCATTTAACCCTTGGAGTACAGGCGCAGCCCCACTGTAAGGGAGGACGTTTGCTTTCCCCGGAGTCCAGCTTTAAGGAATGTGGAAAATGAGGTTTGTGACAACAGTAAATAGAACTGTGTTTTGTGAGTCTAATGCAAACATGTGAGTGTAAACACAACACTGCGCAGAGCCCATGACAGGGAAATATGTGTCTAAGAATATATGAGGAGGAGGAGTGCAGCCTGTGTGGGCACATGGAGGCTCCTCAGTGAAGTGTGCCTTGTGAGGAGGAGTGCAGGCTGTGTGGACACATGGAGAATGCTCAGTGAAGTGTGCCTTGTGAGGGAGGAGGAGTGCAGCCTGTGTGGACACATGGAGGCTCCTCAGTAAAGTGTGCCTTGTGAGGAGTGCAGCCTGTGTGGACACATGGAGGCTCCTCAGTGAAGTGTGCCTTGTGAGGAGGAGTGCAGGCTGTGTGGACACATGGAGGCTCCTCAGTGAAGTGTGTGTGCCTTGTGAGGAGGAGTGCAGGCTGTGTGGGCACATGGAGGCTCCTCAGTGAAGTGTTCCTTGTGAGGAGGAGGAGTGCAGGCTGTGTGGGCACATGAAGGCTCCTCAGTGAAGTGTGCCTTGTGAGGAGTGCAGCCTGTGTGGACACATGGAGGCTCCTCAGTGAAGTGTTCCTTGTGAGGAGGAGGAGTGCAGGCTGTGTGGACACATGGAGGCTCCTCAGTGAAGTGTGCCTTGTGAGGAGGAGGAGGAGTGCAGGCTGTGTGGACACATGGAGGCTCCTCAGTGAAGTGTGCCTTGTGAGGAGGAGTGCAGGCACATGGAGGCTCCTCAGTGAAGTGTGCCTTGTGAGGAGGAGTGCAGGCTGTGTGGGCACATGGAGGCTCCTCAGTGAAGTGTTCCTTGTGAGGAGGAGTGCAGCCTGTGTGGACACATGGAGGCTCCTCAGTGAAGTGTTCCTTGTGAGGAGGAGTGCAGCCTGTGTGGACACATGGAGGCTCCTCAGTGAAGTGTGCCTTGTGAGGAGGAGGAGGAGTGCAGGCTGTGTGGACACATGGAGGCTCCTCAGTGAAGTGTGCCTTGTGAGGAGGAGGAGGAGTGCAGGCTGTGTGGACACATGGAGGCTCCTCAGTGAAGTGTGCCTTGTGAGGAGGAGTGCAGGCTGTGTGGGCACATGGAGGCTCCTCAGTGAAGTGTTCCTTGTGAGGAGGAGGAGTGCAGCCTGTGTGGACACATGGAGGCTCCTCAGTGAAGTGTTCCTTGTGAGGAGGAGTGCAGCCTGTGTGGACACATGGAGGCTCCTCAGTGAAGTGTGCCTTGTGAGGAGGAGGAGGAGTGCAGGCTGTGTGGACACATGGAGGCTCCTCAGTGAAGTGTGCCTTGTGAGGAGGAGGAGGAGTGCAGGCTGTGTGGACACATGGAGGCTCCTCAGTGAAGTGTGCCTTGTGAGGAGGAGGAGGAGTGCAGGCTGTGTGGGCACATGGAGGCTCCTCAGTGAAGTGTTCCTTGTGAGGAGGAGGAGGAGTGCAGGCTGTGTGGACACATGGAGGCTCCTCGGTGAAGTGTGCCTTGTGAGGAGTGCAGTGTCAGCACATGGCACAGGACAGGAGGACACTCACCATCAGGAGAATGGAGGGCTGGGGGGACCTCAGTATGCAGAGAAATGCTGGGAAAGTGGATGAGGAGGTTTCTTTGTGACTCCTAGAAGATGACCCCCCCTCCCCCATTTCTGTTCCAGATCACAGTGATGGATGCAGCAATAACAGAAGAAAGAAAGAACTATGCTAATAAACTCCACAAACAATCACCAGTCATGTGCACCTCAATAAGAAACCTCCCCTCCCCCACTATATAAACACCCCATATTCATGTATAGCAGGAAGAGAGCACAGAGCCCACCACCTACCCGGCACATCTGGGGCCCCTGCAGGACTTCTTACTTGGCTGTAAAAATTCAAGTACACGGCACAAGGCTCCCCCGCGGGGCATTGTGGGAGATGTGGCCATTCGGGAGACGCTGACATTGACTTTCAGCGGCGAGCTCACTACATCTCCCAGGATGCTGCCCGCGTGTTGACAAAGAGAATCCATTGGTTGTCTCTTCCAGCCTGTGGTTGGTCAGTACGGGAAGATACAGGGAGTCGTAGTTGCACAAGGAGTTCCCTGTCTTTATATTTAGATGTGGAGGGGGAGATGTGACGGAGGGCTGGGCTTGTTGTGCTGCTGTCTTTCACATAGTAAAGTGTTAATACAGTTGTAGGAAGCTGGAGGCATAATGACTGGAGTGATGTGTTAGGGCTTGTTCACACTTGGCGACATTTCTAACTTCACAGACACACCTATAACGTTAGTATAGGCATTTTATGAGCGTTAAAAATGCTCCCCAAAAGCTCTATACGCAGTTTTGAGGCGTTTTACGAGCATTTTACAGCCGTCAAAACTACACCACAAACGCCTATGATAAATTGGAATGGTATTAACGTGCCAAAACCGCACTGCAAACGCCCTGAAACTCCTTCCAGCGCGTTTGTGGAGTGTCACCGTAGACTTGAAGGTGTTGAAAGGCTTCAAAGTTCTCCAGACTGGACACAAGGCTTCAATTTTGAAGTGACGCAACACTATCGCTTCATGGTTTGATAATGTGAACAGCACTGTGTGCTGCTAATAGTATAATTTGCATAGACAATTGAGGAGCATTAAAAACACCCCACAAACGCCTGCTTTCAATGCCAGTGTGAACTAGGCCTTGTAGACTCCAGGCGTGAATTTATAGAATCACTTTAAAGAGTAAACAAAGGTAAAAACGTATTTTATTTTCGATAGAGTAAGGCTCTATTCACATGAGTCAGAATCAATGGCAGAAATGTGGCAATTCTGCCCGGGTCTCCAAATCACATGGCAACCTCTGTAAAACGCACAATACACGTTTAGCTGCTTTCACAGTTTTCTTCTGCTTTTGCATTTAAAAAAAGTGAATGAAAAACGTGACCATGTATTCCTATGGAACTCCTCATACTGATCCATTACGGGTCAGGTGCGGGTCATTTCTGTTGCTGTAAAAAAAAAACACACCAAAAATGCACCTCATTGAATTCAATGGAAAATGCAGCAAAAACGCACTCACCATGCACTTTTGGTGCAGTTTTTGAGTCAAGTGCAGGGGTGCACTGACTGTTTGGAAACTCGGCACTGCCTGAGGGCCCGGGGTCAGTAGGGGGCCCCGTGAGATGCCCCTGCTACCTTTTTCATAGGCTTTTTTGAGTTTGGGCAAGGACACAGGGGCCCCATGATCCCCTATTGCCTGGGGGCCCCATGAGTTGTCAGTCCGCCCCTGGTCACATGTCATGTTAAAACGCACCGCAAATGCCATAAAAATGTTTTAGCCGCGGATCAGTGTAAAAGTAGCCTTTGGGTGACATTATCCTTCCATGGTGCTGCATTATGTTAACTGACAATTGCACTGTCATGCAACGCTGCACCCAGTTGAAATTTATGTCCTTTTTTTTCCAATGAATTGAGCTTTCTGTCACTGATATCTGATCGCCTGTGCCTTTTTTATTTTTTGCATAATAAAAAAAAAAAGACCCACAATTTTGAGAAAAAAATAACATTTACAAATGGCAGTATATTTACTGAAATTTTATTTTTTTTAGTTTTTACTACTAATGGCGGCAATCAACGACTTATAGCGGGACTTCGGCGGACATTCTGACACTCTGAAATCCCCAGTGACACCAATACTGTGATCAGTGCTAAAAAAAAGAAATCACTGACATTTTACTAATGACACTGAGCAGGAAGGGTTGAACATGAGGGGCGATCAAAGGGTTAACTGTGTGCAGGGGAGTGTTTTACTAGGGGGTGGCTTTTCTACCATGTGCTAGGCCGGTCCACAGCAAAATGGTGCCGGTTTACTATATAATTGATTGATTGATTGTCGGACAGTCCAGTTGTATCCCCTTGATAAAGTCACGTGACTGGTGATGAAATGCGTCGGGGAGGAGTGTGCAGATGACATCACAACGTTGCCATTCATTGGGATAGCGGTCTGTAGTACTCTACAAACGGCTCTTGAAACGATATTACAGCAGGCAATAGCATTCATTGGGTGGGCCCGTGCTCTGCCTTGCAATATATTACGGATGGTGTCTGTTTTGAGCTTGTATAGGACTCTGCTGCTGAGATGATACTGCCATCTTGTGTTTAATCAGTATATCACTGGATCTTCATCATACCTGGTGCAAAATACACCTCCGGAACGTGAGTGCATTTCATGTTTTAATTGATGATGAATAAAAGTTTATAAGGATAAAGCACTATGTTGAGTTCTTTTAATGAGGAATACGACTGATACAAAGACGCTCATCAGGAGGGAGCTTACGTTGGAGTCTTCATTCAGCAAGCTGATCTTCTGAGTCCATATGGTAACAAAAGTGCAGTTAGACCGTAACATTGTATAATGTGAGGTCACACCGCATGAGGTGAGCAGATATATGGTGGAGGATGTCTTTGCAGAGGAATTCATGACAGATGCACATATCTAAAGGAGGGCATATCTCTTTTCATTATCTAAAGGAGGGCTCACTGAATGAACACTTTATTGATTAAACTTGATTTTTGATTGACTTTTATTTGATTCAAAATATTCTTAATTTTAAATATTTTTATTTTTTGGTGTGTGTTTTTTTATATGTATTTTATATATATATATATATTCATATATCTATATTTTGATTTCATTATTAATATTTTTTCTACTATTATTTTTTCTTCTAATAATTAATTTTTTTACTTTGTTTTTTGGTAATATAATGGTTTGTACCATTTGGTTTTTTGTAGCGCAGCATTTTTTTTTCACTTTATTTTATGATTGTAAAAGCAATTAGCTGCTGGATCATTTTGACAAGCAGCAGGAAGGGACGTCCCCTCCCGTCATCTTCCATGGTTTTCTTGGGCATTCCTGTTCCACAGGGGAATCTGAGATTGCCGCCTGCAGTTCGGCCGGCTGATCATAGAGCTATGTTTGCATGTGTGCACAACCAATGCGTGCATTTACCTTTGCGTGTGAGCATGGGGGGGGGGGGGGGGGGATGGGGGCACTTTAAATTTTTTTATTTTTAATATTTATTTTTACACTGTCACTTTAAATTTTTTAATCACTTTTATTGCTGTCACAAGGCATCATCCCTTTTGACAGCAATAGGCAGCGACAGGTACACTTTATGCAAAGATCTATAAGACCCCAGATCCCTCCTCTGGCCTTAAAAGCATTTGATCACACCAAGATCGGTGCAATACAATGCTTTTCATTAACCACCTCCCGCTCGCCATATAAGGCAATGACGGGTGTGATGAGCAGTGTGCCCTGATGATCAGTGTAGCCCCAGCAGTGCCACCTGTCAGTGCCCATCAGTGCCACATCAATGCCACATATCAGTGCCTACCAGTGCCCATCAATGCCACATATCAGTGCTCATCTGAGCTGCCTTTCAGTGTCACCTATAAGTGCCAGTCAGTGCCACTTATCAATGCCAGTCAGTGCCACCTATCGGTGCTGCCAATCAGTGCCACCTGTCAGTGCCAGTCAGTGTCGACTATCAGTGCCGTCTATCAGTGCCCGTCAGTGCTGCCTATTAGCGCCACCTAACAGTGCCAGTCAGTGCCGCCTATCAGTGCCACCTATCAGTGCCATATATGAGTGCTGCTTTTCAGTGCCCATCAGTGATGCCTGTCAATGCTCATCAGTGCCACCTACCAGTGCCTCCTCATCAGTGCCCATCAGTGCCACCTATCAGTGCCCATCACTGCAGCCTCATTAGCACATATCAGTGAAGGAGAAAAATCACTTATTTACAAAATTTTATAACAAAAACTAAGAAAAAACAATTTTTTTCAAAATTTTCAGTTGTTTTTGGTTTGTTAAGCAAAAAAATAAAAAAACCAGAGGTGATTAAATACCACCAAAAGAAAGCTCTATCTGTCTTAAAAAAATTATAAAAATGTAATATGGGTACAGTGTTGCATGACCGCGCAATTGTCATTCAAAGTGCAACAGCACTGCAAGCTCAAAATTGGCCTGGGCAGGAAGGGGGTAAAAGTGCCCAGTAGGCTAGTGGTTAAAAATGGCATCAGATACATGTGGGGAAATCGGAAGAGGTGTATGTTCATTGTTTACAGTTTCCTATATCATAGAGGTGAACAGAAAAGTTCAGTTCGCCTCTATGATCAGCCGGCAGAGGCACCAGCTGGTCGATCGGGTGTCCCGGTGGGATAGGATAGCTCAAGAAAGCAGCGGAGGGAAGGGGGATAAGTGATCCAGTGGCTAGTTAGTCACTAGGATTGCTTTTACAAGAGAGCCAATTATCGGCTCTAAAAAACGGTACCAGGACGATGCCTGCGCATGCAGGCATCCTCCCAGTATAACAATTTGAAGTCCAGCAACAAATTCTTACATTGCTGGTCCACAAGTGGGTAAATAATGTGTCTGTTTGTAGCATACAGCAGCGGAGGACAGAAGAGGTTAGCTGGAAAGTATGGCTCATAAAACACACACCCCCTTAGTAAACTGATCATAAGGAAAGCCGTATGGCCATGTGACTGCCATATAAAACTACAAAAGCACAAAATGTTTATAAACAGCACTCTTTTTGGACAGCTCATATCACAGGCAAAATGTAGTAAACCAAAGAACTTGTGATCCTTGTGAACCAATCACAGCCACCACAAGTGTAAACACTGTTAGTGTTTACAAACATCCAGCCCATTTACAAGGGAGGAAGCTAACTCTCCTTCTTTGTGAAATGGGTTGGACATTTGTAAACACAGCAGAACAGAAGATTGCAGCAAGTCAAAAGTAAAGGTAGGAGTTTTAGGGCCAGTTCACACTACAAAATTGCACCCCATATGCATTGTGGATACATTGTTGCTTACAGTTTACACCACACTCCGTTCTGGTGCAGTTTTGTTGCAGTTTTCTATGTTCCAGTACAGTTCTGTGCAGAACTTCGACTTTTGTTCTGAAACTGACTGTACTGGTGTGAACTAAGGCCATTGGAATACATGGAAAATACTGTGCCCTTAGGGCTCATTCACACCAATGGGCAGAGACATACGTTTTTGTGCATGCATTCTGCAAGTGCACAAAGAAAACAATTGCTCTCTATGTGCCCTGTTCACACCACAACACTAATGTCGTGTGCAGATTTTTCCTGCACAGGCACCTGCAATGTGTATAAAACTCATTGAAACATGCATAAAAACTAATGTCAACTCGTGTCTCTGCAAGTGCATGTTTTTCCCCCCCAGCTCTTATGGTGTGGGCGAGGCCTAAATGTGCGACTGACCAATGATTGTGGCATCATTTTCTTGAAGATTTATGTGGGAAATGTGTTAGTATGAATGTGTGTGTGTGTGGGGGGGGGGGGGGGTTGAAAGTGCCATTGACAATGATTTTGGGATTGTTTAACGGCTTGCTAACAATATAACTTAGTTATACGCTGGCAGAGCGGCCTCTCTGCACTGGATCACTTACCTAGTACATGATCTGTGTGCTCGGGTAGGTTCGTCACAGCACATGCTGATCATCGGGTCCTGAGCCAGTGATCGGCTATGAGCTTCACTGAACCCAAGAATGGTGTGATCAGATGCTTTCCCAATTTAAATATGGTGCTGTTAATATCCAGCGAAACAGAAATGATGAAATGCTCGTAGCTTCCAGTATCTTACACGATAGATATGTATGGAGCCATTCTGGTCTCAGAAAAAAAAAGCGTATTTTTCCCCAAAAAATTGCATTCGAAAAAAAAACCATTGTGCAAATATCATTTGACATAAAATATTGCAAATGTCCACCAATTTATTTAGCCTCTGCTTGAAAAAAAATATGTTTGGGGGTTCTAAGAAATTTTCCAGCAATAAATACTGATTGTTACAGGCTTGGTAGAACTACTGCTACAGGGCGGCAGGGCTACGCAAAATCACGTATATATACTTGACTGTGCATTTTTAGGTAGGGGGCACACGCGCCCTACCTGCACCACCATTGGTGGCTACAAATGTCAATCACCGGGTCCTGGATGGAGATTCTCCGCCGCCATCTGGCAGTGACAGGGGAGAGACCTGTGTGTAAACAGCATGTTCCCCTAGTAAAACAAACACAGTAAAACAGCACACAGCACACAGTTAACCCTTTGATTGCCTCAGATGTTAACCCCTTCCTGCCCTGTATTAATACAGTGTCAGTGCTTTTTATTTGCACTGATCACTGTATTAGTGTCACTGGAGATGTCAGTGGTGGTTAGTTAGTTCCCCCCCCAGTGTCAGAATGCCTGCTGCAGTCCGACTATCAGCCGCTGATCGCCGCCATTACTAGTATAAAAAACATAAAATAAAAATTCCAGTATATATACACCGCCATTTGTGAATGCTATAACATTCATGTGAACCAGTTAATTTACATGTATTGGGATTTATTTTAGCTAAGACATGTAGCAGAATACATTTTGGCTTAAATTTATGATGAAATTTGATTTTTTATTTTTTTTTTTACTAGACATGTTTTATAGCAAAAAGTCAAAAATATTGTTTTTTTTTCAAACTTGTCTGTCTTTTTTTGTTTATAGCGCAAAAATTAAAAAATGCACAGCTGATCAAATACCACCGAAAGAAAATTCTATTTGTGGGAAAAACAAGGACATGCATTTAATTTATTTACAGCATGGCCGATGGCTCAAAGGAGGGAATGTTATGTACATGCACACTGTATGACAAGGCCGGCTGTAGGCTGACTCAGAGGTTTAATAGGCATGATAGGCTTCCTCTCTACTTCTAACGTGCACTATATTCACGCCCACCAGAACCTAATTTCTGCCACCCAGAGCCCTATTGACTAATCAGGAAGTGTCAAGGCAGAATGCTCGCCCATAGTCTGTCTTGGGGCAGAGCCCACTCCTCTTCTCTCTCTCATCCACTACTCTCTGTTTAATTTAATTTTTCTTTTATTTTTTCATATGTTTTAATAAAACATTTTTGCATTTTCATTTTATTTATTTCCATTAAAAGGCCCACCAAAATCTTCAGCACCAGGCCGAAGATGCTCTTAATCCAGTCCTGCATGCCAGCACAGACCTACTTCTGTGGTTGGTAATGGCCAAAATGAAAAAGAAAGTAGGGGAGCTGATAGGATCACCAGGAATTTCTGAGTAACTGAAGTAAAAAATGAATGGGCTCGATTTACCCCAAACGGAATGAAATCACAGACACATACAGTACAGAAGATACATATTTTGTGGTAACATTGAGTTTAACAACAGTATTTCAATTTATGGTAGACACTGATACTGCCACATGACAGCCCCTTGTGACTTTTGTGCTAACATCATATCTACAGTATGTTGGAGACTTACAGTTCTTTTCCCCAGCCCATGCAACATGGTGCACTGAAGTGCCCTTCATTTTGAATAGCCGCCCCCCCCCCCCCCCCCCCCCCCCCCCCCCCAAAGCAAAGTAAATGCATTGTAGCACGCAACAACTACCATACATTGTGGAGTGAATAGTGTGACTTAATGTGACATAACATACTTTAACAAAACAAAAACTATCCCATTGCATTCAATGGGGCTGCCTCTCGCCGTTAATCACAAGAAACCCCTATTGGGGTACTCACAGGTAATTAGTGGGGGGCTCATTTGCAGGTGTGAATGTAGTCTTAAAGTGGCTCTAAAGGCTGTAGGTTTTTTATTTTCATGTAGTCTATGGAGGAAGGTATAAAACCTTCAGTGTGCAGCTCCCCTCTCAGCCCCCTCCCCCTTTATACTCATCTGAGCCTGAACCCAAACCCAAACCCAAACTGATGTGCACAAGAGCAGAAGCTCTCCTGGGTCTCTGCCTCCTTATTGGCTGAGACACAGCAGTTGGAACCCATGGCTCCCACTGCTGTCAATCACAGCCAGTGAGGAGCAAGTGTGGGGCTGGGCTGAGCCACACTTTGTGTGTTTTGTGAACACAAAGAGCAAGCGGCATGCTCTAGGGGCACTTAAGGGGGAGAGGGGCAAGGAGCCCTGGTGGGGTACCCAAGAAGACAAGGATCGGGGCTGCTTTGTGCAAAACCATTGCACAGTGCAGTTAAGTAGCTTGTTTGTTATTTAAGAAAACAAATCTGAACCTTTACAATCACTGTAAGGAGAATGTAACAGAAGGAGCTGCTACTCCCTAGACAGGAACAGCAACAGAATTAGGCTGGGAGATCTCATGGAGTATCCAAGCCAGTGGCGTCCCTAGGTGGGTGCGGGGGGTGCAGACCGCACCGGTTGACACCTATCGCACTGGGTGTCAACGGACCCCCTCCACGAGCTCCACAAAAAGGAACATTAGGGACCATAGGGACGCCCCTGATCCAAGCTATAAAAGACACAAGGGGCTTATTCAGGCAAACAAGCTCCACTTATAACAAAAATACCACTTTTCAGTGGGCTGTCTCTTTAAATTAAAACTATTCCATCAAAGGAAATACACAACACCAACAACAGCATGTCAGCGTTCTTTCCCATAGCAAAGTTTATTAGCAAACAAATAAACAGGAAATTAAAGCACGTTCCTACTGGCAGTTAAACACAATCCCGATTATCTGCCCCAGACATATTCAGCCGGTAAATGATTATAACAATATTCATCAAGTGTGTCACAGGTTACATAAATACTTTTCAGCAAAATGATTTATTTATAATCAGCAGGAACTGCTGTGTGGAATTAAAATGGCAGGAAAGAGATCGGAGTCATGCCAGAATATGCACTTTGATGTCAGAACTAATTTTAGATGTAAAAGATGAGGACAATGGCGTAAGACTGCTTGTCTCCCACGGCAATGACCACCTAGAATGAACTCTTCTGGGTCTATCTTATCATAACACACAAGGAAGATGGTATGCATTAACCACT